CTCCTTCAGATATGATCTACAGATAGCTTTATAGATGAAGATGATCGTTTCCTATACTATTTTTACATGCACCTGACTATTGTGGGAGATCCCAGTACCCATGTCCAAAAAGGTGGACCAAAAAGAAATTTCGGCATATTAATATCTTCTTTCCCTCCGTTAGTCCTCCCTCGCAAATTTAGGACATTTCATTTTGAGATGACCAATATGTACTGTACTTGCGTGACTTTTGGCCCGCTAATCACGCCTCGATTCGAATAAACGAACTGGTACGGTTACCCTGAGATTTAACTCCCAAACTCTAGACGCCGAGGTAAATGTTTTCAATTACTAGTTTACCGTCTCTTCACAGCAGCCAAGCTAAGCACCCTGAATTCCAATCCCTCACGTAGATGTATTGGGTGGACTACATTTTTCAAAGCATAGTACACCTAGGAGATGTTTTTGGGGGACTGTTAAAAAAAATTGGGGTGTACCGCTATGCAACAGGGCTACAGTAATGATACCTCAGGATGTACAGTAGTACCTTGTTATAAGAAACTGCCAATCGGCATTATAACGTTTATAACGAGGTATGTATGTACAAGAGAACTAGGAAAAGGTCTGAGTGAGACCTTTAAAAAAAAGCTTCGTGAGCGTTGCGTTGCATCCGTCTCAATATCCCGCTTTTCTTGATATAGGGGCCTTGTTTGGTAGAGTTCATTGAAAAACCATTCACACAATCAACATCAACCCGCTCTTGGGTAATATTTCCCCCACTTTGCAGCTCAAGTAACCCACTACTTTGATATTTCCATATCTTCAGAGTTTTTTATAATAGCGAGGCTTCTTATGGCGAGGTTCTACTGGAGACCTTTACCCTAGACTTGTACATGTGGCGATAAATTTGGGGAGAGGAGCTGATTGAATATATATTTCTCTCACTCTCTCTCTCACTCTCTCTCCCACTCTCTCTCTCCCACTCTCTCTCACTCTCTCTCTCACACACACACACACACTCTCTCTCTCTCTCACTCTCTCTCCCACTCTCTCTCTCCCACTCTCTCTCACTCTCACACACACACACACACACACTCTCTCTCTCTCTCTCACACACACTCTCTCTCTCTCTCTCTCTCTCTCTCTCTTTTTTTTTTTTTTTTTTTTTTCTCTTTCTGTGCATGCCTACCTCCCAATGTCAATTTTACTCTGAGAAAACCGAGTCTTTTCAAATCCAAATCCATACTTACTTCTTCTGAATCATAACTTCATTCCATCCAATCTGCTTTCCAATCACCCTTACTTGACAGGCCTCCAACATGATATCCTACTGTACAACTATCCAGCCTACTGCTCAGGAGATGGTGTCCTGCTCTGATGGGGTTTATTTGTTTATGCTCGCAGGCATAAATACGGGATCTATGATGCAGATCTAAGGTCGATGTCTCACGCATGTCTTGTTATTGGCTGCATCGGCGGGGGTTACCCTGGCACAAGACAGTACCGGAATTCCGTTCGACAAATTTCCGCGTAATGTTCGCTACACCGGTACCTACTTACTGTATGTAAGTAACAGCCATATACTGAGGTGTATATATGTACGGAGACGGAGTACTGTACTCTACCCAACGGTACATGTTAATTGCTCCCATCACTGATTTATTGGCCTGGAATAATGCCACGGTGGCAGCATATGCCTAAGTAACTAACGAATATTTTACTGTATATGTACGGCTGGGACCTATCAAAATAATTACGGTACGCCGAATGCATGTAAATTCTCGCCTCAGGGGGGAGATGTTGGGGTGCAACACAGCGGTTTAGTTATATCACACACATCTACTGGATACCCTACAAGTACCACCATGGGCTGACCGGACCGACCTGCCCCCCCCACACCCCCCCCCCACCACCAGCTGAGACCCGGGCTTGAACCCACCGGAGCTGGCTGGCTGGCTGGCTGGCTCAACGTAGTTGCCTGAGTGAAGAACCGCATCGCATCACGCATCGACGGCGACCGCGAAACCGCGACCGCGCGCCAGATAAAAACCGGACGTCAGGCTGGATCTTATAATAATTGCAAAGCAAAAAGTGCAGCCGGAGCGACAGATTTCAAGACTGGGGCGGCCGAGGCAAGAGGCCTCCAACCTTCTGCCCGAGACCCCTCGGGGGCCGTTCTGGAGGCCTGGAATCGCACCATCATCGGATTCGATAGCATCAGGAGCGTCAGGAGCGTCAGGAGCGTCAGGAGCGTCAGGAGCGTCAGGAGCGTCAGGAGCGTCGCCCATTCACCCCATTCACACTACCGATCCACCAGAGATCCACCAGAAGATCAATGTTGCGATAGGCTTCAATAAGCCCCCTTCAATAAGCTTTCCCCCCGGCCCATTGAGCGTTCGCACGCAACCCAATAGCTCAGCACAAAGCCTAATAATCGGCGCTGCCAAACCTTGATTCCATTCAACTGGCGATCTGGAACGTGGCGGGGTGCGCGTTATCTCCCCGACAGAAACGATAAAGGGAACACCTCCCCCGTACTTTCTTCACCAGCAAGCAAGCTCAGTACTCGAACTCTGTCCGCTTCACCAACCTTCCTCGGTCTTGCCTCGAACAGTCTACTCGACCTCTACACCACACACAAACACACACACACATATCCACAACTATAATAATGTCCAAGCTTCTCACCCGCAAGTCCGAGCCCACCTCCCCCACTCAAATATACCCCGTCCCCTTCAACCACGTCGGCGCCCCCTCCCTCTTCCAACTCGCGACAAAGATCCTCATTAGACGAGTCAACGGTACGGCCCCGCTCCCCCCCCCCCCTCACTTCTTTGATACATCGCATTTGCTAATATTTGTACAGAAATCGAAAGTGTCGGCCCCCTCCTCTTCCCGCATGTCGAGCCCATCCTCCGTAGCGTCAAGTACGCTTCTCAGCTCCGCCTCATCGAACAAAATTCCCCTCAAGTCGCCGGGAAGCTCCCCGAGCTCTGGAAGGCGTTTATTGCAAGGGACTTTGGTGCCAACCCGGAGAAATACGCCCCGGAGAATTCCAAGAATTGGCACAAAATTTATGCCGTATGTTAATCCTCTTCCTCTTCCTCTCCTCATCTTCCCCCCCCTCCACACACATATGTATTTTGGAAAAAAGTTTACTAACATATGGTACAACAGAAACATGGCCGCGAATTTGATGACGCAACCTCCTCTGCCGCCAATAAACTCAAAGACCAACTCTCCGCCCTCTCCGCCCAAAAAGCCAAACTCCGCCCTACAGAGCTCACCGGTTCCGTTGCGGCTCGCCTCGCTCCTAAATCGGGTTCTGGCTGGGGCCGCAGTAGCGGTGGTGGTGGCTGGGGAACCTCCGGGGATAGTTGGAACACAGCGCATGGGTCTAGGACAAAAGACGTTATGCGAAAAATAAAGCGCGAGGTGGGGAATAAAAAGTTGAAGTTGACTACTCCTACACATGAGTTGAATGCACGGAGGGGAGGGGGGTGGGGGGGTGGGAAGGGGGGGTTGAATAGGGCGATGGTGGAGAAGTTGAGGAGGGATGCTACAATGACTGCACCCAGCGGGCTAGCTGAGGAAAGGAAGAAAATGGATACGGAGGAAGAGAGAGAAAGGAGGTTTAGGATTGAGACTGCAAAGAGGTTGGGTGAACGGAGGATTGGTGGTTCGAGCGTTAATCCGGTGGGGCCGACAGGGATAGCCAAGAGGCCAGTTATTTCGAAGGCTCCGATGCCATTGCCAATTAGAGCGCCGGTGGTTAAGAAGGGGCCTGAGAAGTTAATGGGACCGCCGGTGTTGTCACAGCTGACGAGAAAATGGAGGGATCCAGTCACAGCAGGAGCCTCATCATCAGCAGGAGGGCCTTCTTCCTCCAGACCCTCAATTAATACAAATACAGCTAAAAATCGCACACCAATATCCCTCGCCTCAGCAGCTAAACCCCAAGGAATCTGCAAGCAGCAAATTTCTCCACTATCATCAATTGCCCGCACAAATACCCATCCAACATCCTCATCCACCTTGATAAGCAACCTTAGAAAACTCGCCAACCCCAACCCCACCACCGCGGGGTCTTCCTCTTCCGGCTCCCCATCTGGGCCTGATCCAAGAGATACTCTCCTCAACCCTCACCCCGTCAATACCAACAACAGCCCCACGGGGAGTGGAAACTTAATCGAAAACCGCAGCCACTGGCCTGGAATGGCACAGAAGAAGCTGATTCCGATAGTGAGGCCGAAAAAGGAGCCATGTTTATTTCTTGTAAAGAAGCCTGCGAAGCCTGTGACGGGAGTGGCGGCGGGATCGGGGGCTAGCGCGATGGTGGGAGCGGGCAGAAGTGTAACAGGTGTGGTGGGGAGGAGATAGGGGAAATTTTAAGAGCGTGGGGGGGAGAGGGGATAAATGTTGTCTCTCTTGGCCCTGCCCCCAAGAATGGGAATTCATCGGAGTCACTCGTGTAGTGTGTCGTATCTCATTTTTTTTTTACCATTCTAGCTTTCTTTCTTGCATATAACTTACCTTACGGAAACTGTGTTACTATTTTTTTTTTTTTTTTACATTTGTTTTCCGGGCTTATTTATAGATCAGATCAGCTTTGTTGTACATGTTCACTACACCCTCCCCGCCTCGCCTCCAACCTACTTGTGTCGCTCATACTCATACTCATATTCATGTCTCTTTACATACCGCATCCACCCACCCGAAGAGTTTGGAAGGGCTTAACAAAATTTGTACTGGAACTGCGAAGTGTTTTGGGCTCTTTCTTCCGATCCGATTTGATTTATTATTTAGTTTTTTCGCTGGGGTTGGTTTGCTTCGAGTAAAATAATACATGCATTTGCCAAGAATATAACTCGAGCTCCCCGTATTTACTACTCTTGCTTCTTTCTGGTGTATAGTGTATACTATGTATCGTTCTCGGTGGTGACGCAATCGAGACAACAAGCTAGTTACCCTGAAACAAACAAAGCTATAAACAGATTACAAAAAAGAATAAAAAATATTTGCACCCATCACGGGGATCGAACCCGCAGCCTTCGCCTTAGGAGGGCGACGCGCTACCATTGCGCCAAACGGGCTTTTTGATGTCATAGTATCTGCGACATATAATAATATTTGAACTTGCTTTCGCTACATGGTTGTTTGTGATATGGCTGTTAATTACAGGTATGCAGAGAGTCTTAAAGGAAGTATCGCGAATTTGCATTAGTTGTCAAAGCCTTCTACTGCTTTTGCTAGATAAGAGAAAGATATTCTTAATTGTAGTTATAAAGGGGACAATAAGACCTTTTGTGCGGGAAGAGGAACAAAAAATATGTATTGGTGTACATATTTGTTGATCCATAGAAAAACCTCAAGGAATATCCTATACCTCCTTACAGCCTAGTACAACCTCGTCCTCTAATCAGAGTCCAGCGTCGAGAAAGTGGATTATAAGCTACTTACTAGTTTATATAGGATCGGAAAGAAAAGAGCGTCATCCCCATTATTTGTTATTCCATGTGCTTGTGGTCATATTCGTTCTTGAGTTTGTTGGAAGTAAAATTCCTTGGCTAATAGGGTTTTAGGGATGAGACCTGCGATTGTGTTTAGGGATATTGCCCTACCGGCCGTAAGCGTCTAGAGTGAATGTTAATCTCTCGCTTTTTGTCCAGCAAACCGCCAAACCTAGGATAAGAATAATAGGAGTGTGATGACTACCTTACCCTGAAGAGCTAACTTTCGCGGCTAAAAACACACATCTCATTTGTGCCAGTGTGGCCAAACACAATTGCAACACAAATGCTGCATTTTGGTGACTAAAGTAGCCAACTTGAAAAGAAAATTTTTTTTTTCACAAATGCATGCAATTCTATAGTAGCACTCGTGGCTAGGCTCAACCATGACGTAGCCCCGCCGAAGCCCTTGTAACAATATAAAGCTTTAATTTCTTCTACTTTAACACTTCCAAAAATACTCAATAGCTCAGGTGCATTTCCATGTGACATTGGGTGTAACAAGAAATATACAATGGTGGTTATTCGCTGATCAATTCTGATCAAATCCCATATATTTCTGCTCAATCCATAGTCCATCATCAATATATGTGAGATATCCCACACAAAACCACTTCAATGCAATACACATATGACCCAAATGTACTAACATGCGGTACCCCTCATTACACAGCAGAGTACGGATTCTGTACAATCTGGAACCCCGCTTCACCCTAGCTGCAGCACTGATTGTTCACCCTTGTTCCATAGCAGTCGTAGAGACAATTCTGTGCATGTCTTATACCCTCAATGTATGAGATCACTTACATCCACTCCATAGTAACCATCAGCCCACTTCTCTGACCACGAGAAACTCCTTGATACATCCGGACCAGGCCTCTGTGTTTTATTTCCGGTATCAAAGATCAAAGTGTCCGTGGATGGTGACTTTTTCGTCTAAGGTCTCGAAGAACACAACCCTTGTTGACGTGTACTATTGATGTAGAAATAGTGATGTCAGTGGGTCATAGCGGATACCCACCCATGACGGTGTGCACAGGTCACAAACCACTTTGGTAGCAGAGACAACTTGAACTATGGAGAAGGCAAGCGGTGGAGAATTGCATTTCGAGTCCTAATGAGTGTTTAGTTGGAGAAGAGAAAAGGAGATGTGAATGAAGACCTAGTCACGACAAAGGGTCTATCTCGTTAAACGTCATGAAAGAGTTACACCCACCGGTGCCTTTAGACCTAAGAACCTTTTTCTTGCGCTAGCATACGCAGCGGATTTGGGGGGACTATACACCCAATTCACGATGCCGGTAAAACAGGGAGGATCGTTCGTAAAAGTCTAGCTTGACTTCAAAGAGGGATCTCAAGTGTGGTTACATTCATCTTCTAAATAGCTCGACCCTAAACAAACCCCTTAGGACGCAAACAATCGGGCAGATTATCAATCATAAGTTCCCTCTAAGTCACTGCAATTATCGTGACCATGTTACATGTAGAATCTCCCTTCCATACTTTTTGTCTTGATCTCAGTGAATGAGATGAGAATACCCTATGATCTGCACAAATACGTTGATATTGACGCCTAAGAACACCAACGAAAAAGGAGTACCGCCCAGTCAACTTTGGTGGCACCCCCTTCCATATTAAATGTAACGTAGAGCATATAAGAACTAGAATTTCCCGCAAAAACGCTATAACCCCGTGGAATGCGATTGACCATATGCAGAACCATCGTACATATGCCTCTATCTCTGAAGATTACCCCCAATCCCCTCACAAGATTATGATACCCAGCCTCCCTCATCCATTCGTTGAACTACAATATTCCCGCCAATACTGCTGCAATGCCAAACAAAGATCCGCTAAGCACATATCCTGCATCACCGGTCCACAAACCCAATACGGATACCGCCCTCACACCTGATGACTTTTCGGTAGTAGTAGGCTTCGTAGTCGGTTTTCTTAGGGCGGTCGTAGTAGTAGCACTTGTACATGGAGTTGTAGTAGTTGGCGCGCCCTCCCTTCCATCGCATTCTGATTTCTTCAACGCGTAGGTGCTATCACCGGTACAGTCCTCACATCTGTAAAGGTATCATTAGCAAAGCCATCAACACTTGATTATACCATCTGGAAACATACTTCTGTAGCCCGGGTAAGTATTGCGGCGAAGGACATGCGCATCGGAGAAAATTCTGCTGGGCAATGTCCTCGTCCCACGTGAAGTTCCAATCATTTTTAAGGGCATCGCACACTGAGGTGACATTCAGGTACGGGGCACAGTCGTTCTGCATGCATCGTGCATATTCGGGACTACTCGGGTCCAACTTTGCCAAAATGTTCACAAATTGTTGCTCACCCAGCGATTGTGGCAACAATATTGAAATGAGCAGGAGTAGAGCTGTAGAGAGGGTGTTGAACGCTGCTGAATGCATGATCGTAGCCTGTTAGTATCGAAGCACCCGGGTAGATACTGTTGATTTTAGCCTTTTCTATAATGCCAGAATTATATTTCGGACGTGGGGATGGGATTCTTATGAATAAGTATCAGGGGAAGACGTGGCCCGCCAACTGCGAGCTGACCTGCAAAAATATTGGGACTAGTCTGAATTCGGGGCGCAGATCCACCAAACGGACCAGGAGTTATTTATAGCTTAAACATAAAACCCTCGCCCTTCAGGATTTCCACCAATGGTAAGATCCCTACTCAAGTGTTCTGAGATTACTAGTGAAGGAAAAACACATATATATATGTACGTAAATACTTAGTTGTCCAGTACCTTCAGTATTAGTCTGGTTGACATTTATATCTCGAGCTCTTGAAGCTGTTCCCTCCTCTTTCACCCTGCTAACATGACAACTTTACGACATTCTGATACCTCGCGGCTTGAGCCATGGACAGGGGTAACGGAACAGAGTTCCCGGAGCTTCTTGGTATGGTTGGTGTTATGGTTCCATTGATCGACAATAGCTTCATATGACAAGCTACATATTGGGTTGAGACTCTACGGGCGGTTTAATACATCATTTGTTGCAGGCTATTCACCCATAGACACAGTACGCCTTTCCGTTCAGCCGCAGCCCCAAAACAAGGACGCATTGTCATGATTAACGAGATTAACCCACCGCTGGGAATTTGCAATTTTGTGGTGGATTCGGTATTCTCTGACATCTTCCTAATATTCCTAGGCGGGTGCCAGAAACAAGCTCGCGTTCAATGTGTCATTGGTTCTTCTAGCGGGGAAGAGTTAGCCAAAAATCAAATAGTTGTCATGAAACTAAACGAGACTCAATTAGTGTTTCATATTCCCCGCTTCTTTGAGACAAAAACTCCAATATATATGCGTACTAGTACATTCACCCTTTTGCCCTATTTGACTTGTTGAGGCCGTGCGTATATGCATGAGGTCGCCCTGACATCCCTCCAGGCACGTGCACCACATGTAAATTCACCCCTGTGCCTTGGGATTGGATGTAATTGGTTCACCCACCTCGGGTTGCTAATGGATTTCAATAACTAGCCTGATTCAAAGGGGCATGACTGTCACAAGAGGATCCAGTCATAAGACTGAACTGGACCCGTGCAAGGTTGACTGACACATGACGGAATTTGGTTCAATTTCGAGGTTCCAGATGTGTTTTGGTGTTTAATTGTTACACAAGTTTTCACGAGCCTGTCCATGTAGCTTTCCCTTGCCTTGGTCAAGATGAAAGGCGTGCCGCCCTCACGACTAGTGCCACGTATCTACGTGCAGAAAGCTTCTTTGGGCGCCTGCTAAAGTCGTTCCAAAATTTGTTCTCCAGAGCTATACAGCATAGATGAATGGTCAATCTTGGGAAATATGAAAGAACTTGAGGCTCACTTTAGCGGCCACCCACACTCCCTAGATCAAATGAAGGATTTGAAAACTAATCTAGGATGTCTATCCAGGAAGGACTGTTCCTACAGGACATTTTGAGATGGGGGTTGCCTGAAAATCATTGCATGATGGATATATGGGTGAAGTACGACTTATGATAATTCTTTGGGCCCAGATGGTGTTTTAGGCCAGCAAGCACCTACAGTATCGCTATTCGTGTTTCAGAATAGCACAGTAGTTAATTTCAACCCAAACACATGAAACAGATATGATATCAAATATACCTAGAAACTTACCGACCCACTAGCAATAATCGGAAGGGTCTCAAGCAGAACACGCTAATAATTTCACTATCTTATAAAGGAAAAGCAGCAGCATAGATATCTAGCTGTTTTAGAATGCAGAAAAGGGGCTCGTCATGACGAGGCATACCATATCACCGCTATACAATATCACCGCTATACAATATCACCGTCAACAAATCAAAATGTCATATCTTTTCTATATAACGAATTCATTAGCTATATTATACCTCATTAATGAAGAGTCATACAAACGTTTTCAAAGATGAGCCACCAAGCTCTTTCAGCCGCTCAGCGCCTTCATGTGTACCAGCACTATGGATAGCATTGTAAATCTGAGAAGCAGAGTAATTTTTGGCTGCTTCAGACTTGATATATCCTACTAATATACTTGGTTTTTTTATCTGGAAGCTCTCCTCAATATCATGAGTAT